ATAAACTAATGACCGTAAGAGTTACAAGAACTAATGGTCATATAAGTTACAAGAATCAATAGTCATTTTCTATCACAATTTGCATCTACTAACATAAGTTTTATTTTAATAATAAAATGCATATTCACCAACATTCCCACATTCATTTTAATATTAAAATAAGAGAGTACCTCACAAATTAGTTGAAGGTAGATTATCATGCATAAGTAAGGTGTACTCTGCCATGAATCTTCACTTAGTAAAACAATAAATTTTACTCCAGAGTCAGTAGTGGTCTAAGACTTGAACTACGCACGACTGCTTAAGGAAAATAAAGTATCACTGCTTACACACAATAATCAAGGTGTTGACATAAGCTTTAATAGTCAGCACATTACGGTCTTGTGCTATCTTAGTTTTCATGAATGTATTTGAGAACAACCTCATTATCATATAAAACAACCTACTTTTACACTCACATAGGTGAAATTCGTCAAGGGTGCTCCTATAAGTTGACACCCCACTCATACGAGATACACAATTTCATCAAGAGTTCAAAGACTCAACCTCCACAACTCATTATAGGATAAATGCACTCACATCATAGGGATTGAATAAAATTAACAATAGTGCATTTCACAACAAGTCATCATACAATTCGTTTTTCCCACTGAACCTGGTAATACGATCTCTAATCCTTGGATTGGGTTTCCTCATATATGACTCAAAACTCTTGATGTGCTTTGAACCATTTATCTTGCTAAGACCTTAGTTTATGAATCTGTAAGATTTAACAGAAGTTTTAACACAATTAATATTGATGATATACCAGTGACCAATATATGCATTTAATATTTTATTTTAATTATAAAATGCATATACACCAATAAGTGATAATGAAGAGTCTAGGAAGCCAAGGAAAGGAAAATAGGAATTTCTGGTGTGAAACAAATACTTGCTTAAAATTAGAGAAAATGATAAAAATGGTCCTTTCAATTAGAAGAGCAGAAAAGTAAAACTAAATTTTATGTGTAAACTTTCTATATATGACCTTTCAATTAAGAATTTTGGATTGTAAGTAGTTGTGTTTAATCTGATACTAGTGTCTATTTATATATATGTTTGGTGTTAAAAATAGAGAAATTATGCAATAAGTTGTTATAAATTGATTATTGAATAATAATGTCAACAAATTAATTATGCTCATTGAGTATTTCTGAACATGTTCAATAGATGATAAAATGTTGACATATCTATAAAAGGGACTTTTACTATATTACGTTTGAAACGGAATGGGGATGAATTTGGCTCTGATACCATGTAAATATATGACACATGAACCTAACTCAACCCCAAAAAGCTAGCCTTTGGGGTTGAGTTAGGCCCATGTGTCATATCTTTACAAGGAGATCACCAGTTCATTCCCCAACTAATGTGACACTTTTATCCATTGTAAAACCCCTTTCACGCCCAGGCCCAACTGGGCGTGGACCAGGAGCCCAAACAGAAATGAACTTGTCTTTGATTCCATGAAAATATATAGCATCTAGGTCTAACTCAACCTCAAACCCAAGCTTATGAGGTGATGATAGCCAAAGTTCATATAAGGAGACCACTAGTCCATTCTCCAATCAATGTGAGACTTTTATCCACTCTAACACTAAAACAATGTGAGATCATCCTAGTTGGTGAGGTAGAAATATTGAGGTCTTAGCACATGTGCTGAATTGCAAGATTGGGGCTATTCCTATACTACTTATGTTGGTTTACTTGTAGGTGCCGCTAATAAGGACCTGACAACTTGGAAACTCGTGGTAAAAAAAAGGGTAAAAAAGAGACTTGCAGGTTGACAAACGAAATTAATGTTAAGGCGGAAGGAAATTCTAATTAAGAGAACGTTGTTAAGCATTCCCACTTATTTCATGTCTTCATTACATTTCCAAGTAAGTGTACTTACAGGAAAGCTCAAGCAGGTAAAGAAATTTCACTTTGTAAATTGGGCGATTGTCACTACACTGAAGTGTTTGGGGGTGGGGGGTGGGGGGGCTTGATAAATGATCGAATGGTCTTTACTAAGGAATAGCCTATTTTTCTTTATTTCTTTTTGGTGCACCCATTGAATTTCTACTTGTATAGATGAGTGGGTGTTATTTGTAGAAAATCATGTCATCTTGTAAGGTTTTCTACTTTTGATATACTTCTTGTACACAGCCAAGCTTTTTCCCTTTTTTTAAATGAAGTTTATTACTCTATAAAAAATGTACATAGCCATAATTAGGCAGCAGAATGTAGAAATCCTTCTTTATATTCTTTCCTAATTTAACACCTAATATATTGTATTTATACCTTGCTTACCTATTGAAAAAGATAACGTCTTCCATTCAATTAGTGTTTTTCAGCAAGGCACTTGCTAAAAAGTTTCTATGGAGGTTTTGGATTGAGAATCATGGATAAAGGCTGGAGGTCTAGGAATGTAATTTTACTTTATAAATATGGTAGGTGGAGAAATATTATGAAGGTATGAGAAGATTTTAGCCACTTAGTTACATATAAGTTAGGGAATGGAAAAATAACAAACTTTTGGGGATCAACATGGTGGGGAGAAAGCATGTTAAGGACAATCTTCCTTGATTATCCAAGGTATTGTGGGTGATGTTGTAACATTATTTGGGTACAAGAGGGAGGGTTGAGGTTAATGGGACTTGAGCTATATAAGGAATATACAACATTAAGGTGGATAATTTACAATGGTTGATGCAAATGCTCTACGAATAGACTACCATACTCATTGGCGAGGGTGGAGGCGAGAGGCAAGAAGTGATGTTGCATTTTTTAGTACATCCAAATTACCATAAGATTTTTGTGAGAGAGGAGTTGTGTAACATGTGTATGTGTAGATTCTTAAAGCACTTGGGAAGATAGAAGAATTACACAAAGCCAAATTTTTGTGTAAATGCTTTTGAGAAGATGTTGGTTACAGGATACACTACGTGAACCTCTTTAAGGAAGAGAAGATGCAAGGAATGTGAGATTACCTCTTAGCCATCATGTGAAAAATAAGTGGTTTTTTAGTAAAGAAATAGCGAAGTATTTTGAAGAGTTAGAGAATGATTTTGTACATTTGAGAAATAACCTTTTATTCGTAGTGAGTTTTTGGTGCATCGGTGAAGTTCCTGTTTGTATTGAAGATTTGGTACATTTGTGTATTGTATAGGTTCTTTACTCTTTTATATACAATTTATATAAGAGAACATGCAAGACATGGGAGATTACCCCATATCCTTAGCCCATATAAGATAAGATAATTTTTGAGGGGTTAGAAAATGATTTTGTACATTTGAGGAATAACCTTTATAAGTAGTAAGGTTTTGGTGCATCATTGAAGCTCTTGTACGTATAGAAGATTTGATACATCCGTAAAGAACCATATAATTCTATAGGTTCACTGCTTCTTATACCAAGTTTCAGGAATGCCTTTGTATTTTGATTCTTATTTATGCAAGAATTTTTATCGTTACATTTTTCATACCATCAGTAATTCTGAACTCATGTGTTTATTACTCGCATTTGCATTTTCCATAGTTTTCTTATCTTTTTCTTATTTTAATTGTTGATGGTGAACCAGAAATCAAGGTTACTAGGATAGGATAAGTACAATGTTTTTGTGAATTTAGAAGTTGTTGATAGCTGACACCACTTTGGATAGATCTTGCTTGACTTAGAGATCAAATTGTCTTGGTCGTAATTCTTTGATAACAAGGGATAGCCTAGTGGAAATGAACCTCTAACTTCAATCATAATGTTAGGTTCGAGTCACCAAGAGCGAAAAATGGGAAAGAAGCAACCACGCTCCTTTCTTGGGGGTATGTCTTTGCCATGTCACCTTTCATAATTTACCACATACAAATATTAATTTTTGGTACATAGATGATGCTTTTGGACTTTGAGCTTCTTAGTAAGTATTCCATACATTTTGTTTCATGTCAGAGTTTGGTTGTGCATGAAATTTATGAATATAAAGAACACTTTTGAATCTTGTGGTCTTGAAATAAAGGTGTCTATAACATACCAAAATTGTGTCTTGAATATGTGGTTTTAACATGCCATGTCATTTAGTAAAATTTGAATGGAATTGCAAACTTACTAAATATAGAAAGCGACATCTTTTCTTTAACAAACTAAAAAAGAAAGTGGTTGAAAATTTCAGGTCATGTTAGAAGGCATCAATTTCATTGGACGCTTATTATGATTCCTATACGGTCTCAAGTCATGTTTAGTATCCATGGTTTATATTTTGTTGTAGTTCTGTATAAATTCCATGAAGCCTCTCATTCTCATTTGCCGGAAATAAATGTTAATATTAAAATCACTTGGTTAAAATTTCTCAAAATAAAAAAAAAATCACTTGTTAGGATACTGCTTCATACCATTTAGGTTCATTCAGCAATTGTAATTGCTTTTGACTCTTGGAATATTTCTTGTTATCTTGCACATTTTCTCTCTTTTTTCGTCTTACTGTTTTGCTTGTTTTACCGTGTATATTCTGTTTGATATGAAATATATCAGTTGGTTGATCAAATTTGTTTGCTTGATGACAGACTTGATCAAAATAAAAAGTTGTTTACAATTAGATATGTACAAAGCTCAATCACAATAGAAAACAGAAAGTAATAAAGTAGAAGGAATTCAAGTGGTGAAGTTATGTCTTGCAAATTGTTTGTTTTAGTATCGTTTTCCCTTTGAGTACTTGTTAAAAAATTTCTTTCATAATTGTATGTTATTTTGGTCTTATGTGAGACTTGAGCATGGAAACCCAATGGCAACATTTTGGATCCTTGACCTAATGTTGCAGAGCAAGGTTTTGTAGAGTTGTGATGGAGCTGCAGATTACAGGGTTGCTTCGTATGCCAAGCAAATGGTACCCTATTTATGTGAAGAGAGTGGCTTTTGGAGTGTAATAGTTTGACATTGGTCTAGAGAGTGCCCTCTGGGTAGGGTGACTGCACCAGCTCCATATGCAGCTCGACCAGCTCCAGCAGCAACACCTCCAACTAGAGGCGGAGGCTAGGGTCAGGACCGTTAGGGTGGTCATCAATGTGCATGGGGTGGTCCCCGGGGAAGCAGGTTAGGTGGTAAGGTTGATGCTGGAGGTAGGGGCGTTCAGGCCCAACTCTATACAACTCTAATGAGGGTGGGGGCTGAGGCATCGGATGATATGATCATGGGTACAATTATTTTATGCCACCAGCCTGCCTCGACTTTATTTGATTCGAGATCTACTTTTTCATATGTATCTATGCATTATTTTTCCCATTTGAGTATGAGTTTAGAGCCTTTTGGCAGCGCCGCTTAGTGTGTTGACCCTGGTGGCTGAGTCTTTAGTAGTGGATCAGGTATTTCAATCTTGTTTGCTGACTGTCTAGGGGAGTGACATCCAAGATGACCTTATATTTCTTAATATGTTGGATTTTGATGTGATTCTGCTCATGGACTGGTTATCCCCCTACCGAACGATCTTGGATTGCTTTTCTAAGACCATTACCTTAGCCATGCCTGACATTCTATCGATGATTTGACATGGCTCTTGTAGTCGCACGTGGGTTGGAGTTATCTTTTTTATTCATGATCGAAGGTTAGTGGCTAGTGATTGCTTTTCTTACTTGGCTTATATGCGGGATGTGAGTAGGGAGGTTTTGTAACACCCCATATGCTAAAACTACCAAAATGCAGGTTTCAGAAGTTGCAGGTGCCACCGACGGGCACCACCCACGGACCGTAGGACCCACGGTCCGTTCTGGTGGTCCGTGGATGGCCACCTGCAGCCCTTCCCAGAAGCAGTCCAGAAATCTAGTAAGGGTCCACCCACGCCGAGACCTATGGACCATAGGTCAGGCCATGGTCCGTGGTCCAGGGTCGTGGGTCAGCCCCGAGCTTTCACTCCCAGAATCCCCCCTGAAAATTTGGCTAAGAGTAGACCCACGCCAGGACCTACGGACCATAGGTTAGACCACAGTCCGTGGTCCAGGCCATGGTTCAGACCCCCAATTTTCAACTCCCAGTAACCATCAACGGTTGACCAGCACAGACCGTCGGTCCACCCATGGTTCGTTGGTCTGGTCCGTCTGTGGCTTCAACAACTTTTAAGTCAGGGGTCGTTTGGTCTTTTCCTTATGTGTTGGACCCCTAAATTACGTCATTTAAACCATAAACTACGTAGTTTTGATCAGTTTTAGTTTAGTAAACTAATTAGAACCTAACCTAATCAATCATTCATAAAAAAAATTCATCAAACTTAGAACAAAAGAGGAGAAAAGAGTCGACCAAGCCCTAGTTAAAAAACGCAACAGATTTTCATCAGTTCCAGCCCCAAAATCGAAAGATTTCTTCGTGGAATTCGTCACCAGGTATGTGGTATTTCACTAGTGGTTCCTTTCACCCATTAGGTCCCTAGAATTCAATCAGATTCTTGATTCCCTTCATATTATCTAGACCTAGGGTTTCTAGAATTTTAGCAGATTATTATGAATTTGCTACCTAATGTTCCTAATCAGATTATCATGATATTAGTATTGTTTTGCGTAGATTCATTAATGAATTCAGAACCCTAGCTATGTAGTTCTTTTAGTTCATACATTGCACATGCTAGGTCAGTTATCTCAGTTATACATGCCTCAAATTTGAATGCCTCATTATTAGTACATTAATGTTGCATTTTCAGTTAGCATTTTAGTTTTTTGAGCTATCCAGTATTTTAGAATTTCAGTCATAATGTGTTATTTACATAATCAATTGGGATTAGCTTAATATCGAGTGGACTAGGGTTAGTCACCTTTAAGTCCCAGAACTACGTGCCCCGTAGGTTGTAAGTCCCCTCTGTGGGCAACAATTTAGTAATCACGCCAGTCATGCCTCTGTACCTCTGGCAGGGTATATTGGGTCCTCTCGATGGGACGTATACATCAGACTCCACATTTACCTCACGTTGTTTTATGTCGGTTATTAGTAGCTCCCACAGTCAGATTCTATTACATTGACCATGTTATCAGGTATAGTTAGATTTCAGTCTCATCATGTTATAAACTTGGTTATTGCATTAAGTAATTTCATGTTTAGTATTTTCAGTATAGAGTCATGCTTATCCTATCTCATTGCTTAGTTATATGCTTTGTTCAGTTATGTTTATTGTTCAACTTTACTCTATCCTGCATGCTCAGTACCTTTCAAGTACTGACACATACTCTGCGCTACATTTTCTCGTGATGTAGGTTCAGGTCCTCAGCTTCCAGATCACGCATAGATCGGTTTCCGATCTCTAGATCAGCAGCATCAGTGGCGAGTACTCATTTCTCGAGGAAGATAGACATGTTCTTTTCTATTGTAGTCTTTAGTTTCAGTTTTGTGATATTTAGCTTATCACGCCCTGAAGCTACCCCCAGGACGCGGACACGGGACCTAGGATCACGAGTGACCCCAAGCTAACCCTGCTAGCATATCATAAGCATACTAAATAAACTGAAGTAAAGAAATATTGCTCAAAAGCTTAAAACATCATGTAAACTGAAATGATGGGGAAAACCCATTAATAGTTGAATAAAAGAACTATGAGTTTAATGACAACTGAAATATCAAACTCCAAAGCTAAAACTTAATCTAACTATGTATGAAATAAAGCCTCTAACTGACTAGAAATGTTGGGACATGCCCTAGCTAAATCTAGCAAAAACTGAAACTAAGACTGAAAGTAGAAAGATAACATGTCAACTGTCCTCGAAGAATGAGGACTCACCACTAATGCTGTTGAACTGAAGATTGGGAACCGATCTATGCATGATCTGAATGCTGAGGACCTGAACCTACATCATGAGAAGATGTAGTGCAGAGTATGCGTCAGTACTTGAAAGGTACTGAGCATGCAGGGTAGAATAAAACTGAACAAGATACATAAATGAACAAAGCATATAATTGAGCAATGATATGAGATAAGCATGATACTATACTGAGATTACTAAACATGACATAACTGAATGTAATGACCAAGTTTATAACATGCTGAGACTGAAATCTGACTGTAACAGATAACATGGTCAATGCAATATAATCTGACTGTGGGAACTACTAATAACCGACATACAACCACATGAGCTAAATGTGAAGTCTGATGTATACGCCCCATCGAGAGGACCCAATATACCCTGCCAGAGGTATAGAGGCATGAGTGGTGTGATCACTAAAATGTAATGCCCACAAAGGGGACTTATAAACCTACGAGGGCACGTAGTTCTGGGACTATTCAGGTACGCTGAACCCTAGTCCACTCTATCTAAGCCTACTCCCAATTAGAATGCATATAAACAATATTATAACTAAAATGTTGAAGTACTAGATAGCTCAATTTCTGACATACAAACTCTGAGAATGCAATAATTATGACTGATAATGTGACATACGTAAAGTGAAGCCTGTATATCTGAATAATCTAAAAACTAGGTTGACTACAACTTCTGTTTTGACTCTACTAGAGGGTTTAGAAAATTATGTTATCTATTGTGATGCATCCAGAGTCGGCCTAGGTTGTATGTTGATGCATTGAGGTAAGGTTATAACTTATGCTTCTAGACATTTTAAGGTGCATGAGAATAACTATCCAACTCATGACCTCGAGCTTGCAGCAGTGGTGTTTGCACTTAAGATTTGGAGACATTACTTATATAGTGTTCACGTAGATATGTTCACAAACCATAAGAGCCTTCAGTATGTGTTCACCCAGAAAGAGTTACATCTTCACCAGAGGAGATGACTTGAGTTCCTCAAAGATTATGATATGAATTTGCTTTACCATCCTGGTAAGGCCAATGTAGTAGTTGATGCTCTTAGCAGACTATCTATGGGTAGTGTAGCTCATGTTAAGGAAAAAAGAAAGTAACTAGCAAAAGATGTTCACATGCTTGCTCGCTTGGGAGTTCACCTTATGAGCATATCGGATGGTGGTGTAACACTTCAGAATAGGTCAAAATTTTCATTTGTAATAGAGGTTAAGGAAAAGCAAGATAGTGATTCGATATTGCTTCAACTAAAGGGTGCAGTTCATCAGCAGAGAGTTGAGGTTTTCTCCCAAGGGGGAGATGGCACGCTTCGCTATCAGGGTCGATTGTGTGTTCCTAAGGTGGGCGAGTTGAGACAACAGATTCTTGCAGAAGCCCATAACTCCAGGTATTTTATTCATCCAGGCGCTACTAATATGTACCGTGATCTGCGGGAAGTCTTTTGGTGGAATGGTATAAAAAGGGATATAGCAGATTTTTTGGCTAAGTTCCCTTATTGCCAGCAAGTGAAGGTAGAACATCAGAAACCACGAGGTATGACTCAAGAGATCAACATTCCTACTTGGAAATGGGAAGTGATCAACATGGACTTCATTACAGGTTTACCTCGTACTCACAAACAACAAGGCTCCATTTGGGTGATAGTTGACAAAGTTACTAAGTCTGCGCGCTTTTTGGCTGTTAAGACTACAAATATGGCGGAGGACTACGCCAAGATTTACATTAATGAGATAGTCAGGTTACATGGGGTTCCTTTATCTATCATCTTAGATAGAGGTCCTCAATTTACCTCTCATTTTTGGACGTCATTTCAGAAAGGTCTTGGTACTCAAGTTAATCTTAGCACAACATTTCAACCAGAGACGGATGGTCATTCAGAGAATACCATTCAGACCTTAGAGGATATGTTGAGAGCTTGTGTGATCGACTTCAAGGGTAGTTGGGATAATCACCTTCCTCTTATAGAGTTCGCCTACAATAATAGCTACCATTTCAGCATTCAAATGGCCCCTTATGAGGCATTATATGGGCGTAGATGTAGATCTCCAGTTGCTTGGTTTGAAGTAGGTGAAGCAGCCTTGATAGGGATAGATTCAGTTCATGATGCTATGGATAAAGTGCAATTCATTAGAGATAGACTTAAGACAGCCCAGAGTCGCCAAAAGTCCTATGCGATGTAAGGAGAAGGGAATTAGAGTTCCAAATTGAT